GAGTTCTTAACCTCTAGCTTTTCCAAATTCTCACCTCAAAGGGAATGTGTTTTCACTTGTGAAGTCCCTTTTCTGATTTCTGTGCTATGCAGTAGTTGTTCGTATTTGGCACTGTCTGATAATGGCAGCGTTTATTTCAGGGAGTGGAAATTTTGAGGTTCATCCTCTTTGTCTGGGCATGTGACAGTCTGCTGCTTTCCTTTCCCCAAAAATGTAGTAGACAACAGATTTATGCTGAGAACTGGATCCTCAGTAATAGAGACATTTATACCACCTTTTCCCTTACCATAGGGGAATAAAGGAAGCTACGTAGGTGAAAGACAGTTCCGCTGATGTGAATGCCGTGGCCCTTCTCTAAAGCTTTTCACTTTGGCCATTAGAGTTGTAGTGTCAGTTGTAGCAGAATAGAAATTGTTGAGCAGGCAGTCGATGTTCATTAACTTTCCTGGCTAACGAAGGGTAGTGTCGTGTTGCACCTACAGCAGTTAAAAGTATCGCACGTGGACTATAGCCCAGTAATTGTCCTGTGATTGTGAATGCAGTTGCTGCAATGTGTAATAAAATACATATACTTGTGTAAAATGCACCTTTTACCGTTACCAAGTACGACTTGAAGAGTTACCCCGATGGATGTAGGTTTACTTTGTTCCCTTGTCAAAAAGCAATCTGGATTTACCATCAGCAAAATGTATATAATTAATGCTTTTCCATATAGCTTCTTTCCATAGGGATCGAGTCAGGGTTTCTGAGCGTGTGGGAGAGAGATAAATGCGTGGTGCTGGAAAAGTGCCAGTGAACAAGGGAGATCTGGAGCCTTTCATCTCGAGTCCATGGATTTTATTTTAAGCAGGGTTGGGGTTTAGCTGTTGTTCTGTAGCCTTTAGATCAGCAATTCAAAAATGATGAATATTATTTTCCAGGGGATAACTGACAGGCATCAGAAGATAATTATATCAGTAGCTGGGATCTTGCTCATCTGCATGGTTCCCTTGCTTCAGTCTATTCTTTGGCTCATTTGGGATGATGACGTCTTCTGTCTCTTTTTGTGGCGGTGTTTGGGCTCTGTTCCTGTTGTGATGTCAGTAGAAGAAAAAATCTGAACAATATCTTTACTTTCCTACAAAGGATCACGGAAACCTGGGGGAAACATTCCCGTTAGCGTTCAAATTATGGGCTGCTGTCAGTTATATTCATAAGATGACGTGTATTTTGTGCTACTCAAAAGAAGCAGTATTGATACTCGAAAGCTGCTGTTAAAAATCATGCAAAAGACACTTGCAATTTCGTTTCAAAAGGAGGAAATCCTCCCTGAGAAGGGCCCTTATTTCTGGAAAGGTGATTTTCAAGGCAATTCTTAAATTCCAGAATTACTGTATGGTTTGATCTCTCAGCACCCTGGCTTGTTGTAGTATCAGTTTTCGGTCTAGCTGTTTACTTCTGTCCTGTGTTGAGAAGCCTGTGCTAGAATTTCTTCCTTTCCCAGTTAGTTGACACTTCTTTTTAGTGACAGCTTCTGGTTTTGATAGACAAGCTTGTTTACAAGATGCAAGAAGAGCATCTTTTCATCTGCTAACATTCCATACGTAATCTTATAGACCTGTTACTTATCTAGTAACCTGTAGCTAACACGTCTCTTAATTTAAGATGTTTTCCTTTTAACATTCTCATATAGTCCATACAAATCCTGACTGAAAAATCAAATTCGAATTTGTTATGCAACAAACTGAACTAACCTAATCTCAGTCACTATTCATTGGTAGGACTTCATGAGCAAAACCTGAGTGCAACCAGTTCAATAGTTAATACAACTTTTTCACGTGGACTGTTTTGTACTGACCTTGTGGATGGCAGGCAGTAGATGGAATTACTTGAATCATATTTTGCATAAACTGAAAGTAAAAATTGGCAGTGAGCACGGCACTGTCTCTTATTTTCTGCTACCAACTGGAACAAATTGAATTTAGAAAGTTGTGGTTATTTGCTTTAAATGGCCCCCTGCAAAGAGATTCAGTTTCATGCAGCTTTGGCTTGCTAGGGACCACATATGATTGACACAATTAATCAAAGATCACGCTACTAATCCACACCAAACATAACATGGTAGAGAGAACTCAATTAAAACTTTTGTTCCTCCAATTTAAAAGATCAGCCACATGGGAGCTAAGTATCTCAGCCTTACTTGTTTGAGACTAGTCTTAATAAATGGTCTTTTGCTTCTGCAGTGCAGTTTAGATGCTTATAAATCAGCAGTCATGCTTTGCCACAATTCCACACGTGAACTCCTGCATCTGTGGTTAACAGCTTTGTCTAGAAAGTTTTAATGTATGTAGATAAATGCTGAAGGAAAAAATAAAGATCGGAAACAATAAAAATAATTGGGTGTGGGAAATGCTGAAAGAAATGCTTTACTAAGCCTTACTTTATAAATACAGAAACTTAGAACTAAACAAAATTAAATTTAGTAGTTCAATTATAGGCTCTCCCTCTTATTATCATTCATTTTCAATTTTGTTTGTTTTCCTGACCATATATTGCAAGCTTTATCCTTCTCCCTGGGCACCTTTATATCAAGGCTATAAGTGAAGACGTTATTCAAGACTGTAAATTTTTGACAGCTTAGATTTAGGGTACTGAAACTGCTTAATAAAAGACAACACTGAAAGGACTAAGAGGAAGTAGCTTATGATTGGAAAGGCTCTTTATTTTGTAGACAGGGGCTGTTTAAAGAAGAAAAAAAAACACTAACACTTTCATTACTACATTTCAACTGCCTGAAAAGATGTTTAATTTCTGACTTTCCTCAGAATTTGGGTGGTGTGAAGTAGTGATGTAGGAAGCTACTGGGCAGTGTGATGGCTCACAGCAGTGTTAAAGGTAGCCTTAAATTCAGTATATTCATGCACGAGTAAGGCATATAGGAACAAGTCGGTGCATTTGTTGTCAGGGAGGACTTGTCTCATTAAATTGCTGACTGAAAACCGATCCTGCATGTAACACTGAGGCAGTATTTAGCACCATTTGTAAGACTAAATCTTTTTCTTTAGGTCTTACGGCAATAAAATACTTGCAGTAGTTAACTTCTTGATCCTGTCAAGCGTGGAGGATGTATACTGTTCTCTTCAAAATGTGTTAATACTCCGTTGTTTCTTTTCAGGGGCTAAACAGCTGTGGAGGTTTTAATGCTGTTGTACTCTGACGGCGTGAAAGGATTTTTCTGCAGGACATATATGTTGTGGAGACTAAAATAGGGAGTTTAACAATATGTTGTGATACCTTCTGTTGAAAATTTTTTTTTTTGGAAGTATGAAGCAAAAATAACTGCTTTTGTTTTTTTTTCCAAGTATTCCTGATGAGCATTTATTGTACTCTCACCAATTCTGAACCTGTGTTGCTGTTGGCAGAGGTTTGCTACTAATCTTTTTACGTGATCACAAACAATTTGTGTTTTCTGGACCTGTGCTGCAGGACTGGGTGCATGTGAAGCAGAAGATTCAGCTCTCTAGTATACTTTTATCATCTCTATTAGTGCTTTAAACCTGTGGCTAGCTAATGGCAGCATTTCTGATCCCACTGCGTCCATGTGCCCATCCCTTAAGAACTTGGGTATTTTATCCTTTTGCAATAGGGGAAATGTTTTGTGTTTCAGATAGAAATTGTTACGGTTTGTAACATATGCTTCCTCATTACACCCTCAGTGGGTTTGTCCTTTGCCATTTGTTGCATTTGGTGATGTTGTCTTTTAAAGTGATGTTCTCTTTTGCTGTTGACTAATTTCTTCATTGCATTACACTTGTTTCTATTGGTACATGTTTTGCTCTGATGTACTTAATCTTGTACATCTTCATTAGTTGTCATTTAAAATGTGTTGCATTTCGGTAATTTCTATGCTTTTGCTATTTTTGTTTAGTTTATAAAAACAAAGTTTTCTTGTTACCCAACGGTTTTCTTTACCTGGAAGTTCTTCCCCATTTGTATCTCTTAACAGTCAAAATTCTTATCTCCTCCCTCCACACACACTGATCTCTGTTATTTTTCCAGTATTTTGATGAAAGCTTTCATAGGGATCAGAATTTCCAGTTGTTAATATTAAAAAAAAAAAAAAAAATCCCTTTTATAGAGTAAACTTGTTGATATTTCTCAATCTTTTTGATGATGCATTCCTTTAGTTTTCTGTTCTTTCTATTATAATTGCTGTTTTGTTTTAATGTGGCCAAAAATCCGTTGTGATAATTCTGTTCTTTGCCACTTGGAAGACTTGTGGTGTAGCTTTCTCTCTGTAATGCCTCCTTTAGTGATGTTATTTGCTTTGTGAAGTCTTTACATCTATTTGGCCCTGGTGACGTATCTGGCAGATTCAGTACCTTTCCCTTCTGTGACTTGCTTCTTGTGGTCCTCAAAGTGAGGATTCTGACCAGATAACACTGCATCACGTTGCAGGGGTTACCACACTGCTTCATAGATTATCACATTGCTTGATGGATTTTGGGCCTTTGTTTGTTTTAACTTGGAAAGCAGCTTTATCGTGTTTTGCCTAGAACTGAAGTGTACTTTTGTTTAGTAAACAAAACTTGTGATTCAGTTGTTTGCTCTACCACATAATTATGCCACAAGTAGTGAGAATGCCAGAATGGTTTTGGAGATAATGGTAGCTGAGTAATGCCCCAAGTTTGTTACATGAGAAATTTTTTCTTTCTTCAAGGTAGAAAAAATTTAAGTGTGTGTAGATATCTTAAGATCATTCTTTCCTGTGCCATCATGCTACTTAGCTGGCTTAAGTGTTAAAAAAAAAAAAAAAATTGTAATACATACAGTATAGTCTAGTCTACCCTTGATTGGTTTAGAGTAGACTTGGTTGTGTAGGTTAATGGTTGGACTGGATGATCTTAAAGGTCTTTTCCAACCTAAACGATTCTATGATTCTATACAATTATCTACAGTGGGTTTTTTTATTTGCAAAAATAATGTAATATGTTATGTCTCTGTCCTCAATGCAGAGAACCGACCCGCAGCTCCTTGCTCAGTTCTACTACGCCGATGAGGAACTAAATCAAGTAGCAGCTGAACTGGACAGTTTGGATGGAAGAAAAGACCCACAGAGATGTACGTTGCTAGTCAACCAGTTTCGCTCTTGTCAGGTAATCAAAATGGTACCTTCCTGATTTCATTCTCATTTTTGTGTATGTTAAATATATTACATTATTATTTATTGTATTAATTAGTTTTTATTGTCAAATCCCTTTAAAATGAACCTTTAGTAGATATATGCCTTTCCTTAGCTCAAAGGGTATATTTTTGAAAACACTTCATAAATCAACTACATCTCATTTAAGAGTGTGTTGATGCTTTCCCTTAAATAAGAACGTACATTAAAGGCTTTGTTTCCTTTATATAAAATAAGCATACAGAGCTTACTGTAACATGAGAAATATTTCAAAATTTCAGGTGGTATGAAGTAGCCATGTCTTTTTTTAGATGCTCAGCTTTCATACCTCATGAATCTGGTAGTCCTTCATTAGTAAATGAACTATTTGAAGGCAGCTCGTAGCTTTGCTGATTTTTGGATTAATATAATCTGCTTCATGTAAAAAGTCTTGAAGATGAGAGGAACTACTGAGGAACCAAGCAAAAGAGTGGTTTTTATCTGTAAATTATTTCAAAAGTATGAATCTGTCTCTAAGTTCCTGTTGTAGAACATAGTTCACCTAAAAAGGCATTCCTGGTTGTGTTTGCTGAAAGTATGGCTATACTTTGAGCAAGACTTGAAGGGAGAAGAACCAGATACTGCAAAGACCAATTCAGTTAAGTCTAGCTCTCTAACTTGGAGGGGTTTGTGATTTGATTTATTAAGAAAAACAATTCAGAAAACATAGCTTGCCCAGTTCACACTGTATGCAACTCTACACCAAATTTTTCAATAATTTTTAGACGTAAAAGCTACTTTTGTGGTACACTTTGTACTTGCACGAATGCTTTGATATTTCTCCAAGTCACACCCAAGAAAAACACTTTAAAACAAAGTAGCCTCAAGTCCAGAATACACCATGCTCAGGTGGCAGGAGGATTTCTGTATGAAAAGTAAACACTCGCTGTCAACTTGGAAGAATTGTAAGTGGAAAGACCATAGTAATAAAGATTCACTTACATCTCCACCAAGTAAAAAGTGGCAGTTAAGTGCAAAGGATGTATTTTGATTCACCCATTGTTAGAATTTCTTATTGTGAGTAATAGTAAAATGTATCAAACGTCATTATGTGGAAAAATATCATCACTGATTATCAGACTCATCTTGATAAGTTAGCTGAGTCTGCTGAAAAGTCAGGTATTACATGCTTGCTTGCAAGAAAACTAAATTTAAAAAGTGCAGTTTTTTGAAGAGCGCTTACAGAGAGAGAGTTGACAGTCAATGTATTATGTCAGAAATAATACTTCTGTCTACTTTGAATATCTTCACAGTTCCCTACTGTACTGTCACTAGAGAAAAATGTGGAGTTTAAGGATTTACCAAACGGAAAACTGAGTTTAGTAACAGTCAAAATTCAGTGACTTGGAGGGGGAAAAAAAAAATAGGGGTGAGAGTTCACTTGAAAGGTCATTGACTGCAGTCTTCTGTGTGATGGATCAGCTGTACCTAAATCCCTTTTCACAAATATTTATCTGATTTGTTCTTACAAACCTCCAGTAATGGACATTCCACAAACTTTCTAGGCAAATTCTTTCCAGACTGTCTTATTAGGAAAGGTTTTCTGATAATAATGATTGATGAACAATATCACGGATAATCTCCTTGTTTGTTGTTTTATCCCTGGAGATGATAATATATTCCCTGTTTCTCTGCAGATGTGTGGGCTTTTCAATTTGTTTCTTGTAGTATAGGCAGACCTGAGGAGCTGTTCTGTTCAAAAAGTAGCTTCTCTGAATGTTTCACCTGTAGGAATGCAAGAGATGCAGACTCCAATAGTTCCTTGGTCAATTTGCTTGGCTTGTTATAGTGACTCACCACCTTGTGACTCTTAATACCTTCTGATGCCTGGTAATTTCTTCTTTTCATTTGTCAAACAGATTGCTGTTACTAAAACAATCTGTTGCTAGACCTTAAAGAAAAGATGGAGGTGGTTTTATTTTTTTTCATGTAGCTATTTTTATAAATTCTAATTTTCAAAGTTCTGCAGAATAGGTCAGATCATCGTCAAATGTCATGTAAAAAATGGCTTTGCTAATTAGGACTTACATTATTTTGTAGTACTTTGGTTTTGTAGCTTTTTGGTTTTTCCTTTTAAGAATTTGTCATGAGTGTGCCATACGAGAAGGAGCAGCATTTTAGTAAGGGTTCAGAATGTAGGTACTTGCTAATCAAATATTGCATGGTAGGAGGAAAAATCAGTTTTAGCCTAAGGTATGGTGGAGTTTGAGGAAGGTGGAGAACCAATAGCCAGCCCTGGGGCCAAAATGGCTGTAATGGAAGGTTGTACATGTGGAAGTACGGTAGTAGCTACATTGTGCAATACCCTTGTGATATCTGCAACAAGAAGCACACAATTCTGAGACTTTTTCTAAGAAATGTGCTCTTTCTGACTTTTCAAGTGATGCTTTTGAAAAAGAACTTGTGACCACAGAACATCGTTAACCAGCCTCCCAGTCTCTGCATGATTTTTTTTCCTATTTTGTCCCTGTTTTTCCATGTATTATTAAGGTTTCCAGATTATTCCCTATTTTTATCTCCATAAAGTTTAGAGGCATAGTCCCTCTATCAGATTTTAGTATTTTCTAGGGACAAAGAATTCTAAAATCCCTGGACCGTCTGCCTTTTCATCTGGTTTCAAAATTAATTCATTGTTCCCAGGTTGCTTATTTTCAGATGATTTACTGATAGTGTCTGCTTGATCAACAGGTGGTGTTTTGAAATTTTATTTCATTTTATTAACTAGAGAGAAATGTCTTTAAATTAGTGTGATTTTTCTGAAAGACCAAGAAGTCTTACAAACTGTGATTCTTTTAGAGAGGTTATATTCTGTTGGATCTTAACTATATCTGAAGAGCTACGTTTTATATCTTTCTCTATATTTTCAGCTTTTATAAAAGAGCTCCAAGTTTACTATAGTATGTGAACAGATTTAGGCAGAACAAAAGGACTCTGTCTAAAGGATGTAATGCTTTATAGTGGACATCATTAACTGTTTCTATCTTAACAAAACTGGCAGTATCAGTCAAGGTAAGTTGAGTATGGTGCATTGTGGTGTTCCCATGGATGTGCAGAGAACTTCAGTCTTCAGAACCGTTGATGCTTCCTTAGTAAAGAACTCAACTCTGAATGTTGCCTTATACTGTTCTGCCTTAGTACTATTTGATGATAAAAATCACACTTTACTGTAAATAAACTTTTCAGAACTTCTGAAGATCTTGCAACTTGGTTTTCAAATGCTGTGAGTTGACTGTATAGCATGATGCTGAGTAGCATATATCCATGAGTAAGAATCAAGGTAATGGTTTTCAAAGCTTCACTTTTCATTTTCACATTAGTGCGATATAACACTTTTTTCCAGTTATGGTAGCCTATTATAAAAATTACTTCCCTTGTTTTGCTTTGGTGCTTGCATGTCAGTGGTAGAACATTATAAGAATGTAACATCTATTAATACAGTATGTTGCATTTATTGTGTGGTTAATACCTGTCCAACAGAATAAACTGTTAAAATTAACAACTTAAGTGTGCAGAGATGCATGATGGAAAGCTATGTAAGTTTTCTGTAAATGAAAAAAAGGGTAGGTAGGATGTCATACTTTGGTTTGCTGAACTTGATTGATGGTAATAGAGGGAAAGTACTTTTTTTCTTAAGAAAAATATATTTGCATCTGTGAATCTTGAGTAATATGCAGTGCTGGTTCATATGAGGTTTTCCCCTGCAACACAAATAATTCATTGAAGTTTTTTTATATTAGGGTTACAATAAAGTGTCCTTTTCTATGCTGCTCCCAACATCAGATGGTATTGAATTTCATAAGAAGTAATGGTACTTTGTGTATGTTTTTTAATTAATCACTCATACATTTGCAGTCATTCTCTAAATTAATTTGCCTTGATCATTGCTATTGTCACATTGATTAATATCTTGTTACTTGACCTGATTAAACTCGTTTAAAACAATTTCTCAGCCATTTAAATGGAATTAGGTTTAATATTACATATTACAGAATGTCACTGGTTTTGTTTAAAGAATAAAAAAACCCTCCTTTGTTTCCAACTCAGAGATTTTGTCAGGACTTAAACATAGGTTCAGGGTTTACCTATAAAGTACTTCACATTGTGAAAGTGTTTTCAGGATCGTAGTACTTCTTTGCTGTTTAAGTACACTGAGAATTATTTCTCTGCGTACAGTAACAACATCTTGGAATCCCACAAGTGAGTTCCCAGTATGGTTTTATCAAAATTATTCCTTGAACTGCAGATCATGTCTCAGCAATGTGCAATTTGATCTGCTAAAGTACAGTAGGAAGGAATTTCCCCCTGTCAGGGCACTGACCTGAAGCAAACCATAGACTTGCCTGTCTCTTACCCCTTGCACGGTACCACAGAATAGTAAAATGGGGAATTTATAATATTTGTGAAACATGACTGTTTCTGGCTCACTGGTAGGGGTGATTGGCACTGCGTTGACTGGTAGCATATTATACTGGCTGTTCACTCTTCCTGCTATTTGCCTGCTTGGGAAGCAGCTCTTGAATTACCAGAATTGGCAGTCCAGCATTTTCAAGTCAGCTCTCAGCAGTTTCAGTTTGCTCTAACATTAGGCTTTAAAATGTAGCCTTTAGTGGGCTGCTTCATGCATAGCTTACTCCTCCATATAGTTGGTGAGAGGCAGACACCTATGAATCTGAACCTCATTATCTATCAGAATAAGTTAATGTTGCTGAGGAATCAGAGCCCTTAGAGAAAGCTGAAGCATATTTCAGTGTTGTGTTGTTATCACTTGTCTGTCTCAATTTCTGTAGCAATATAAAATACATGGTGAATGTTATCAAAAATGCTGTGTTTCAACCAGACGTATCTCCATATTTCTTCCAGCTCAATTTAACAACTGAAAGCATCATTGAGATGAGTTGAGATTCAAGTGTCAATGAAAACAAAGCTTTGCCCTTA